AAGTGCTTCGAAAATTGGTTCGAGCGCATGCAGATGTGTATTAATCTTCGTGGAGAATACTTCGAAAAACAATAAACTCATTTAAAACTACCTACCGTGTTGTTTTATTTCCATATGCCAGACTTAAAAGACATCCCTCGTACGCAGTACGGGACCAACGGCTGATATAATTTGAGGTTATGATTTTCGGCGAATTGTAAACACTACCCAATAAGTAGATTAGAGAAAAAATTTTCATATGGAGAATTATTTTGTTGGAGCGTGAGACTGAGTGATGACGTCACTTGGCACAAGCTATAATCGCTACCACAAAGCGATTCCTGACATTTACAAACGTTGCTTTGCTTCGGGTTCACGATTTACAATACAAATGGGTCAGATCATAGACTTACAAATATTGTATTGTAACTAGGTGTACACACATACAGGTATATCAGCTCCAGAAAAACATGTTTGCTGGTGCCAAAACTTAGAGGAATTCGAAGGAACTGGTGTAGGCTAATGGTAACAGGGGGAGGGATCAAAATAAATATTATTGCATGTGCCTATCATAATGAATAAATAACTTAATTGGTGTAAACGAGACCGGGGACGATAATTGCTTTTACTTGGAGATAATGTGAATATTGTTATAGTAATTATGTTGTGTCTGGATAGTTATTATGATATGGTATTGTATTACTTGCCAAGCGACACATTAGACTATACGACAACATGTGAATGCTACGATACCTGTGACCGCCCAACGGCAAAATGTACCTCCAGCTAGTGTTACCAGGTCTACCGATGTTTAGATAGATTTGCTGATTTCAGTTAAATTCTACCGAACTGCCGATTTTAATGCGAAGTCTTCAAAAAAAGTCCTAAATCCTTTCCCAGTATACTTATTTCTGGTATAATGTAACGACATACAAGAATACTGGAAGAATACGGAAGATAGTATCTGTTAAATTCACATTTTACAGGAGCGATGAGAACGTGTTGTAATCCTTCTCCAATTCCAACGTTTAAGGAAAAACAATGCTTTTGGCTTGTACCCGGTTAAAACTGATAATACCCCCGAACGAATCCATTAATTTCACCAAGAATGCCTATCTCTCAATGAAAAAGCATATACTGTTACCTTAAAATTATCTGAACTGCTCTGTTTTTTTTTAATTAAGTAAGTACTATGCCATGTTGTTTATCGCACGTTCGGCATCGGGTTCGGCTTATAAATATTGTAACAAGAATGACTAGTACTGCTGGCGACATCTGTTGAGGACCATGCAGGGACTTTCCTTCGAGATCGACGCGAAGTGACCTCGAAGATTCTAGACTGCCGCTATGTGGCTCACCGGAACCTTCTCGAATCAACGAGTACCTGGTCGACGGCCGTGAGAGGGTAGCAGAGTAGAGTATAGTTCAGTGAATGGCGCGACATAATTCGTAAATAAATAGTCAGACATAAACAGTGGTCTACATAAATGTTCTATCTAGTTAAGTTAAATAAATTAGTGCATTTCTTTTAGTTGAATCCAGTGTTTTAATCCACACCCAAACGGACTCAGAAAAACGCTACAATATAATCTTTAGTATTTGAAACCTAAAAACATTTTGTGCAGTATCCTTACAAATTTACTAAATGACCGACGACGCGTTCTTAGAAAGGTTATGAATTCGGTGAGATTAAAAGTATGTATGTCATAGTATCTGCTAGCTCCTTTGCATAGGGTATAAATTAAGTCACAGTATCTGTATGGTTTCTAAGCAAGAATACAGTAACTACAGGTCATTTACTATGCTTTAATTTGTTCTACGTGCCATTCATATTCTAATGACAATATCTCATTGTCGTATTTTTTGCACTAACTGCGGTCTGGCTTATGACGGCAGAATAGAGACATTCACTCTCTATCCTCTCCCTCGGTCTTCAATTTTCGAATGGTTGAATTTGGTGCAACCTTTGGCTTTTCAATTTTTCAAATAGCTGCATTTGATGCTCCTGTGATCTTCAGTTTCCAAAACTGAATAGATCTCAAGCAAGGTATCCCCCTCCTGTTCATTTGCCAATCACCGATCGTACTTCACTTGAGGTCTTTAAAATCAAAAGCAATATTCGAATCCGCAGGAGCACGCTTTTTGAACAGTTCTTTAAGAATGAACGTGGTGGACTTTCGTGGTGGTACTCGCATTGTCACCGTTCACTTCGAGTTCAGGAATCGAGACCATTGGAATCGATAATCGGTTCCTACTACAGTTCCGTTTCTTTGTAGGTCTCATTAACACCGATTTTTTTATACTCCAACCACCACGAAGGCCTAAGGCCTAAACACCCATGGGGTACCGTGGGGCTATGGCATGTTTCGGAATTGCGGGAATCGGAATACAAAGGAATCGTGAACGAATCTAGTCTAATTATATTAGACCAAAATACTCTGGTTTGCAAAATATTTTCTTCGCAACAAAAGGTGATAGACCCTTGTGCTTTGTTTTGAAATGTGTATAATAAAGTATGTTTTTCGAATATCGTAACCAATCTGTTCAATTACTCGCAAATACGAAATGTTTAAATTTGTTTAAAAGAAAAAATCATAACCCTTCGTTTTTCGCATAAAAATAACAATTATCTTTCGGAATGGTTTGAGATTCATGTCAGCAAGGTAAACTCGTGTATTTTGCTGCAAAATGCCCTTTGAACGAATCCTGTATATTGCTCAGTAAACTAGTAGTGATGGCTGAAAGACATGTATTTTGGGATAAACAATTAGAAGTTCTCAAAAACTACTTGACCAATCGACTTCAATGTTGTTGTGGTTATTTAGAAGTATGAGGCCTATAGCTTTGAAGAATTTCATGTAGTTGCGTGAAGTTATCGTCGCATTAGCAACCAGGGGTCAAAACCTGCATTTTGCCTGGGTTTTCGGCAATAATTTTTTTACTATTAGTCGGATCATTTTACATGTGGTTTCATTCTGTAGGTCTCATTAATAACTAAAAATCTGTTCGGAAAGTTTTTTCGTTACTGCCAATACTTTCAATTGAACAACACGTTTTCTCATCCTTTGTTGTCGAATAAAAAGTTTTCCCACAAAAGTTGGTTTACCCACTTTATGCGACCGGGTTTTAAATTCCCCCTTGAGCAACTTGCATCAATAAAACCAGGATTTATAATTATTCCTTAAAAATTTGCTAATCGAAGGAATATGTTGGAATAGAAACCATGGGATCGAATCACTGAAAGCAACAATTTGACCCAGCTCTACCCATTTTTATGCTAGACTGTAGCAGCGCGCATTTTTGAAATAAATGGAGAAACCTGCAATCTTTCAAAAGTATTTGTTCTTGAAGACCTTATACAGTATGTTCTCAAAGTTGGAGTTTTCCTTTACACGGCGTATAGATCTATATCTCTCTGGATCTATCTACTATTTCTAGTAACATATCTTAAGATTACCAAGATGTTAGGCTTCGCTAAATAAATCAAGCCCAATCTGGCCCTGCACCTCGATCAGATCAAACGTGAACCCGTACGATGCGCATCAGTACTCAACTCAGGCGCTAGCCGAGTTGGTAAACGAAACCTTTACACATCGGTTCTAAAAAACAAAACAAAAATGGCACACTCATAAAGTAATGTCGGATACCATATTATTTTAATTCAGGTTGTACCCGAAATGCTACCCAGGCATCGCAAGTGGATGCAGATTGTTTTCTTTTCTTTTTTTTTGTTTGGGGTGAAATTGAATGTTTAGCGTATAAGAACTATAAGACTGAGGTGAACACGGTTGACGAACCACGTATGCCGATTTAGCAATTTGATGCATTCATTCTGGAAAGAGAGTACATTCTAAAAGCTTACACTGATGCTTGGCTACGTTGGGCACATTATATATGTCTCTTTGAATATATCGCAGATAACTTTGAACAATACTTACAAGGGACACAACTTTACTTGAAAGACATTTCAATGAACGGTGAGTACTTTTTTTATTTATTTTTGGTTACTTTTTCGCTGTTATTTCACCACACATCAGCTTTATTATTATTATAAACGTAGTTGTTTTTGAAAGGGATAGTCCCAACTTTCAGGACACCCGTATCTACATTAGACTGCATTATGTTTAACAAGAAATTAATAGTATTTATGTATACAGGGTGTAAACGTTATGATAGTCATTATTTAAATGGGTGATAGATGGGGTTAAAAGAAGCAAAAAGTTTCATATAACATGGGGGTCAAAACTGCATTTTTTTTTTAGAGAAAAGCGACTTTAAAGTAAAATAAATCTGACAACGCCGCAAAACTATGCAAACGGATAACTTGCCACTGTTACCGTTTGCGGTTCAATAAGAGTGATGATGACCGACGAGCTGTTGACAAGTGTGTTTTAAATATTCAATTTAATGAAACTTACTTTCTTACTGACTACAAATTTTGGCTTAAGTTAGAAAAACTTAATGCCATTTATTTGTTAATTACTCAATTTAAAAACGTTTTAGATTAGATTATAAAAATTAGCAAGATTGTGGTGATTATGGTCGTTACAAAACACTTAAAGTTGTAAACTATAAAGCCATTTAGACAAAAATCTATTGAATTTTGGACCAGGGGTCATATGAACTTTTTGACTTGTTTTGACCCCCCTATTACCCATTTCAATAATGACTACCATAACGTTTACACCCTGTATAGAGTGTTAAATGGACGTTTATGGCCCGCAGCGAGTAAGTGCACAATGTGCGAAGCCTTTCGGTGTCAAGCACTACGAGTGGCAAAAACGCTTATAACGCTTGGAGATTACAACTTTCACGGAATATAAAATAAATAACAGTCCTTGTGATACATGAGTATAGAAAATTTAAACATAGCGGGTGCTAAAGTTACTTTACCGCCCTAAGGCATAACTAAGTGTGTAATCTGGAGAGTGGGACTTGACACCCGGAGAACCTATTCATAAAGCACGGTTTACTGCTCGTTTGTAGATGTAAATTCCCAGCGATTAGTGATAAATACTCACTTGTATTTCACAAAGTTACTCAACACCCTCACCATCTTTTTCGACACAGGTCTATATCCGTTGAAAATCAGTTTGCTCACTTTAGTTATAAAGGTGTCCCAGTAGAGGAACAGGTCTTCACCGTGAGCAGCTCCTTCAATACCTGTAATATAATAGAGTGGATTTATACTTCTCGCGCTAGCATGCTTGGTGTGCTGCCACCACGACTTCACTGTTCATACGCTCAATGCTATTCAGCAGAGGGCTATCCGATCGGCCTAACAGACAGTCGCGGGATACTTTTGGACCAACGAGCCGCATGGGATCTGGCTCTCTTCGACCGCTATGTCAACGAGCTTTGCTTCTCAGAGCAGACAGGTTTTGTTTGTTAGTATGTATGAGTGAGACAAATGATGAACTGAATTTTGAACCATTTAACGTTGACCAGTTGAGCTGAAATTTTTTACAAACGCTTGGTTTCCCTGACAATGCTGCCGTTATTTTGAATCCAATATGCCTGATGATATAAAATGGCGCTTCATTATTTCCACAGTAACCCCTACGATATGGGTATTGGTTCAATGATCATATAAGAAATATGAGAGAGAGACTTTGACTTTCCTAACAGAACTTTATAGAGACCATGCTACTTGAGGTAGTACGGACTGCTTCAAAAAATTTAAATATAGTTACAGACAAGAAATTGCTAAAGCTAAGATTAAAGCCAACGATGACTACATTAATAAATCCAACAACAAACAACATGCTGCCTGGAATATCATAAAGAATGTTAAATCGAAAGCACATAACCAGGACTCCTCAACATCTCTCACGTCACATCAATTCAACGACTTTTTTACCGATATTCCACAAAAACTTGTAAATAAAATTATCCTACTCATAGTTCATACTTTAGATTCAGAGAAGTTACATATAATGATGTGAGAATAGCTATAAATAAACTAAAAAACTCAAAGAGTACTGAGTACTGAAGTAATACTTTTCCGCATTTATTCAAACTATCTAAAATTATACCCATTTTCAAACAAGGTGATACTGAGAGTTATGTAACTACAGACCCATTTCCTTAATACCTATTTTTGCGAATATTTTGGAATGACTGATGAAAGGTCAAATTAATGAATACTTTGAGGCTTTCAATTGTTTTTGCTCAACACAGTTTGGTTTTAGGAAAAATAGTTCCACCACATCAGCTATTAACAGTTTTATTCAGTTTGTGAACGAGACTTTTGAAAATACAACACAACACGGGATCCTGTTGGAAAAGCTCCCTTTTTATAACTTTCATGAAGCATCCACTGTAATAATTAAATCATACTTCAGTAATCGCCGACAATTTGTATTTTTAAAGGTATATTATCCTCACAGTTAGTCGCTGCTCACGGGGTACCGCAAGGCTCGGTATTGGGACCTATTTTATTTTCAATTTACGTAAACGATATGACTAACTCTAATGTAAATACTAACTTAATCCTATTCGCTGACGATACTACCTGGGAGTATAATATAATGCCTCTTTAACTTCATTGATATCTGACTGTGAGGCTCATAAAAATAATCTAGCAAACTGGCTAGCCACTAATAAATAAACTATCAATAAAACGAAGTCTCAGATGATTAGGACGACATCAACACACTAAAATCCCTGTATTTACTAGGGTTTACATTGATACACACTTGTCGTGGGAAACTAACGTAATACATGTTCTCGGTTCATTAGCAATATATATATATATATACAGGGTGACTTTGAAGTTGAGTCATTAATTTTCAGATAATGATTGTAGAAGGAAGATAAACCAAAATATGTGTGTAAAAATAAAAAAAATTTAAAAAAAATGTTTACCTTGTTTTATAAAGTATCCTCCCGACAAGTATTTCAGTGCGGACCTGTATTTGATCGTCTTAAGTCACCTGATTCACGAGCCCGTTGTACTACATTAACAAAGGCACGAGGGGTTGGTTGCACTCGATTGGGAAACCGATCCGCATAAACATGTGCCATTTTTTATTTCGTTTGAGCCACGCAACAGATACAACTATTCACTGACACTGACTGTATACAAATGAATGAAATAATTCGTTCCAAATTCTTTCGCTTTTTTGTTTCCGATGCGATGAACCGATACGGCGGATTATATCCGTTGTCGCCAAACACGAGCACATTGAGACAGGGCGGTACTCAAACTTCCAAAGGGCTATAACTTTGTTACTTTAATTTTACCAGAAAAATGGTAAAGGAAAAAAACATTTCTTTTGATCAGATCTACTCACTGTTAAAATAAATGACTCAACTTCGAAGTCACCCTGTATATATACAGGTATATATATACGAGCCCCTTCCCACTTCAGTTGGCCCAACTATTGGAATCTTAGTTTTTTTCTTATCAAACACAAATAATAAAAATGTAGCAGGGTGTTATAGGTTTAAAATATTAACAATGAATATTTTGATAATATATAGTAGAAAACACCAACTTTATCACTCCCTAATCAAATTTGCGGCATAAAAATGACACATGTTGCAATTACAGCATATCAACCTATTTTCATTTCGATGCAAAATAAGTCTATAACGCATAGGTGGCTGTGAAAAATAAAAGCCATGACAATTGTTTTTATTAATCACAGCTGTCAGAATATGTTTAACATAGTTTTGGGTAGTTAAGGTTTTCAAAATAGATAGAGGAAAGGTTATTAGTGAGAAAGTTCGGTTACTGATAATTAAATTTTTTAATTCTGGGAAATCAAACGCAGAAATTGCAACTTTGTTAGAATTATCGCGGTACAGTGTGAGAAATATTGTTAGAAGATATAACGTAACTGGTTCAGTTAATATTAAGCCACGATATGTGAAAAAAAGTAATATCACAAATGCCGACCGAAGAGCATTAAGAAGAATAATCGTGAAAAACAGGCGTGCCAATTATTGACAATTAAGTGCTCTGTGGAGTGACGCTGTTGGAAGGAGAATTTCGAGGTCCACAACTCATAGAGAGGCCCACAAACTGAGATTTAGCACTTGCAAGGTAAGCTTTCTTATTAAAAAAGTGAAGTAAAAACCCTAAAGTTGCACAACTTGTTTATAGGCCAAAGAAAAGCCACTATTAACTGCACTGCACTCCACGGCTTAGATGGGGTAAAGAACATAGACAATGGACACCTCAACAATGGTGTGCAATACAATGGAGTGATGAGACCCGATTCAAAGTTTGTGTTGGTGACAGTCGCAGTAGAGTTATTCGCAAAAAAAATGAAGCATTCCATGTTGACTGTCTGAAGAGAAAAGTGAAATTTCCAGCATCCATTATGATCTGGGTCAGTATGCCATGAAAAGGAGTAGGAAAACTTCATTTTATTGATGGAAATGTGGATACAAACAAATATTTGGCAATTTTAGAAGAATCGCTTTCACCAGTGATGGAAGAATGTTTGACGTCCGGCCAAGATTTTGTGTTTCAGCAAGATGGTGCAGCGTGCCATACCTCAAGAAAGGCTATAAAATGGATGGAAGAAAATAATGTACCACTTTTGAAATGGATTTCTAGCAGTCCAGAGATGAAAAAGGTTCTACGACAACATCCTGCTCGTACAACCACCGAACTGAGACAAAAGCTTCAAGAAATATGGGATTGTTTTTTGCCAAAACTTGGTTAACACTATGCCCCAAAGAATTTCAGCCGTAATAAAAAATAAAGGTGATGTTACCCAATGGTAATCTTTCAATTGTTGCTTTGTTAACTTCGCGCATTTATTCGCACTTGTTTATTTGTTCAGATGTTCTATTAGTTATAGGTCTAAGTGATGTCAAATATGTATTTTTTACGACTCGGGTGTATCTAAAATGTTTTTGAGAAAATAGATTGTTTTAGAAGTAAATAGTTTCGTCATGTTTAGTTTATAAAGGCATGTTTTGGTACAAATCTTGAAGTGGGCCAACTGAAGTGGGAAGGGGCTCGTATACAGGGTGACTTCGAAGTTGAGTCATTTATTTTAATAGTGAGCAGATCTGATCAAAAGAAATGTTTTTTCCTTTACCATTCTTCTGGTAAAATTAAAGTAACAAAGTTATAGCCCTTTGGAAGTTTGAGTACCGCCCTGTCTCAATAATAATATTATGTGCTCGTGTTTGGCGACAACGGATATAATCCGCCGTATCGGTTCATCGCGTCGGAAACAAAAAAGCGAAAGATTTTGTAACGATGTTTTTACAATTATTTTATTCATTTGTATACAGTCAGTGTCAGTGAATAGTGTGTTGCGTGGCTCAAACGAAATAAAAAATGGCACATGTTTATGCGGATCGGTTTCCCAATCGAGTGCAACCAACCCCTCGTGCCTTTGTTAATGTAGTACAACGGGCTCGTGAATCAGATGACGGCATGCCGGTGCTCCAAGACCTCACGATCAAATACAGGTCCGCACTGAAATACTTGTCGGGAGGATACTTTATAAAACAAGGTAATTTTTTTTTATTTTTTTTTTATTTTTACACACATATTTTGGTTTATCTTCCTTCTACAATCATTATCTGAAAATTAATGACTCAACTTCAAAGTCACCCTGTATATATATATATATATATATATATATTTGATTAGGAAGTTGAAACAAAATATCTCACCGTCAGTTTTTCTTCTAATCTATTATTCCTACTTACAATCAATAATTTCATACGCATTGTTAATCTGGGGTCACTCGGCCCATTCGTCAAAAGTTTTTACCTTAAAACGACGTTGCTTGCGGTACATTGCTGGCCTCAAATACACGGAACCTTGCAAGTTAGCCAATATACTACAAAGAGTGATGTCCACAATTATAGAAGCAGGAATTTGGATAAGACCTTAGTACCTCATAGTCGTCTCCAAATCATCAGGAACAGCACAAACTATTATGGAATAGTTTTTTATAAACTGTTGCCAGACCGTATAACGAAACTGAATGCGAAAGCTTTTAAAAAAATTAATGCTTATCTGACTACTAAAGCATTTTACTCAGTCAACCAGTATTTAAGCAACAATTTTTCAGACTTGTCGCATTGTCAGCAAATATAACAGTGTTCCTGTTCCTGTGTTCCTACACCTCTAGCCTCTTTGAATCTTCTACTTATCTTGTCAAGTTTTATAACAATATTTTATATGTCTTACCATTTTAATGTATATATATGTTGTCTTGCCATACATCAAAGAACTAACACCAACATTGATCAGGCTGTATAATCCCTTTAATTGTCGTTTTGCTTGTAAATCAGTTCTCACAGTGAACAGTTTGTTGTCCAAAATGAAAGATAAGGTTCAGTTGCTTGATTCAACCAATACTGTCTATCGTATTAATTGCAACAACTGCAATTTAGTTTATATAGGCCAAACTTCTAGGTCGCTGAAAGGCAGGATAACGTCACACAAAAGTGATGCCAGATTACATCCAGAAAGATGTGCTTTGGCGTCGCATATCAACAACACAGGTCACTCTATGAATTATGGCAGTATTGAGGTTCTTGATAAAGAAAAAAGACTCTCAAAACGTCTATTTTTAGAAATGTCCCACATTTTCATGACAGATCATTGCATGAATAAAAAGGCTGATGTTAAGCAGCTCAGTGTCATTTATTCCTACCTGTTGAATTGCGAAAAGCTAGAACGGCTACATGTCCAAATTGATCCAACATCTTCACAAAATTAGAATACATTTTCTCACTCACATAACCTATCTTTTCAAGGTTGTATCAATATCACACATTCTTGCACTCAGATGAACCACACACTCTGTTCCAGAACAAGTTATTCCAGCATTTTTGTGGAGATTTACTGAGCGTCCCTCGTATACTTCATACCCAAAGTTGGACAGGGAGGTGCACATTTACGTCCGTCGCGTCAATCAGTTGTCTTCTGTCAACGCTTTACCGTTCAGTGCCTTTCCCCCTCTCCACGTGTAGCGGTAGTAGAAGGTTAGGGACTGCATTCCGATTGTTTCAACACCTTGTGGCTGCAACCTCACCGACGAGTAAGTTGTCTGACATTTTAAATCTGTCTTCTTTGCTAGCATCACAATTGTGTTTTCAGAATCCTGATGATGGCTCCATAGAGAATGCCGAAAGCTTGATTTTATCGTCAAAAGAGTCAACTTTAGCGTAAAAGTTTTGCCAATTTTCCCAATTAACAAGTAATTGTATTTTGTACCCAACTAGTCGTTGGCTTTGGCAATGACTACTTCTCACATATATATATATATATATACGTATGTGTGCGTGTGCGTGTGCGTGTGCGTGTGCGTGTGCGTGTGCGTGTGCGTGTGCGTGTGCGTGTGCGTGTGCGTGTGCGTGTGGGTGTGTGTGTGTGTGTGTGTGTGTGTGTGTGTGTGTGTGTGTGTGTGTATACATATGTATTATGTATATACGTATATGTGTGATGTGTGTGTATAATGGAAAATCTTGATGAGACATAGTAAACAAAGTGACGTCAGTCTTAATCTGCCGCCGCAAAATGCCGGCTAGGTATCATATTTCATCGTCACCCTTACAATATGGGAATCGAATTTAAGGACTTGATGATAGAAACACAATAAGCAATGTGGCATCATTCTTAATCTAATATGGCGGTCGCCGCAAAATGGCGATTTACATTTTTCGTAGTCACCCGTATGACACGGGTATCAAATAAAAGGGCTAGGTGGGACAAACGCAATAAGCAAAGTGAAGCAATTCTGAATTCTTTATTGCGACCGCCCAAAGATGGCGTTTATATTCACCATAGTCACCCTTATGATATAGATACCAAATTAAAGGGCTTTATGAGAGAAACATAGTCACACCTATATGAGGGGAATCAAATAATAAATAAAATAAATTTTTAAAAACAAGCTTTTATTTAGCTGTTTGAAACATGAGCTTGAAAATTTGGAGATAATTTCCTCGATTGGAAATATTTCAACGATAATGAAGCTCCTTAATCTTAAGTTTTCATATAAAAGCGTGCTTAGCTTTGACAGTAGGATGGAGAAAAGGCGTAACTCGCTTTTATTTGGAAACTTGAGATGAAGAAGCTTCATTATCATTTAAAAATTTCCAATCGGAAAAAATATTGTTAAATTTTCAATACACTCTATTATGAGCTGATTGAAACCTTGCTTTCAAAAATTTATTTTTGATCTCATTTGTGCCATTGCAGTATAGAATTCTGTTAAATAACGTAACTGTCAAAATTCACGACGATTAAATAAAAGTAGTTACCTGGTATAAAATGTGGTACGTATCTATAGCCAAGCATGTACATGTAGACAGGTACTCCATGTTTCGAAGCACTCTCAGCATGTCTTCCTACAGGTAATGTGAACTGATCGTCCGTGCAGTACTACAAACATTCAGACCTTTATGCAGTATCGTACAAATGCCATCTTTCACCAGAATCTACAACTGCGAGAGTGAATAGCACTTATCCGTTGGGATTGTAATAGTATCTAGTTCGCTCTTACCGCTTAATGCCGCTGATTCTGGCGACATAATAGATGACAGACTTGGGTTGTATTCGAATACTTGGTACTTTGAATCCTATTCAGGATACTGTAACGGTTTCACCGTCCGATCGTATTTATTAAATCACTTCTCGATTATCATTTCATTAATCCCATCTCTAGTTTTTTTGCTTGGAAAATTTTCCGCTTGGAGCGCTTGATGCGGAGTTCCTGATCTGCGATCTTCCTCGCGCTTTTTTTTCACTTGAGCCGCCGATTGAACAACGGCTAGAAATTTCCTCTCTGTAGCACAAGGTTATATAGCACCATGTGCTAGAATTTTCTAGAGTGTGTGTCCGTATAGGACAAAAATGATTGGGGCCACCCCCTTTCTCTTTCCCTTTCACTTTGCCTAGCCTTGGCCAATATTTTCACCCATGCATGTACCTTGGCAGCGCCATCGCCTTTAACTTCGCCTACAACTGGTTGTGAAGCCACTATATGGAGGTCACCCCTCATAACTGGGACCTCCCCTTCAAGCCCCTGGCCATCCTGGCTTCAGTCGAGTAAAAATGGACCAGCGAAAGATAAGTCGATAGCGTTATAGCAGCGCCAAAGATGTAAAACTTATTTTGTTATTTTTGTAAAATTGTAATGTAATGAAAATGCCTTTTTTTTTTGTTAAATAAAATCTGTTAAATTTTTGTGTTCTGTTTGTTCTTCTATCCTCTAGCCATGCCATGGTCGACACACAGCTACACGCCTGTAGATGTCTTCATGCCACCGACTGAGCTACCGGAAGCTAATTGTAACCCCCTTTCTGTGATTGTGCAGAAAAGTTGGAATCTTCATTGCATTCCATCTTTTCTGGACTTTTTGCGGAAAGGAAGCGTTACATAAATTGGCACCCGCAACGTGAGGCTTCGATAGGTGTTTGGCTTTGTCGACAAGTGGTTTGCTAGTGGAAGATTGGCAAACAGAACATAGTTTTCAAAATTCTTTACAATCTTTGGCAGCATTTCTATTTTTAATTGCTTTTGATACTCAAATTTCTAATTCCTTAATCATCCTTACTTTTTGCTAAATGTTTAAAACTTTTATCAAAAGATTAAAATTTTTCCACCTGTTTATTTCATAGGCATACTATTAACTTTTAAATTGTCTTGTTTAGTAGTCAGCGAGATCATTGCCAGAATTTTTTTTCTCACATACTACTATAGTTTTTATTTACTGCTGGGGACAGTTATAACTTTTTCTCATTATAGTTTTGAGATCGATGATATTTTGATAATTTTTTGTTGAATATTGATAGTCTGGGGACTTTAGGTTTCCCAGCATTTTGTCGAATATCATCAAACTTTTGATTGAGGTTGTGACTATTGTTGTTGATAGTTTATATATTCTTATATGCTTTTCATTTTTGATCACTAACCTCTTAGTTTTTGAAAGTATTTCTTCATGTGCAGTTTTTTTGATTTCTTGAGACTTTTCATGTATGCATATATAGCCTAATTGTTGGATCTCTGGTGTACTGATATAGCTCTCATGATGTTTGGTACGTAGGAAATTTACTTTCAAAATTATTTTTGCCTTCCCCAAATGTATTTACTTTTTGAATTTTTGACTGTACTTGAACTTTTGATCATTTGTTTTCATTCTGATGGCAATAATCTACTGACTAGAGTTATCTGGAGTAAATCATTTTGCGATTTATCCATTTTTCTGAATTATATGAAATTGATATTCATAATTTTTCGTATATTTTGGCGGTTTACTTTTTTTCAAGTATTGACACTTGGACATAGTACTTTGATACTTACCTTTTTTTTTTCAAGAAACAAATGATGTTTTTCTTGACTATATTTTTGCTACTTTTCAATGAGGGGGTGACTCCTGAATCATTTTTACCTATACAAAGACACACATACTCATTTATGATAATTAAATTTCAACTTGTTGTTGAAATAGTATACGTTCCTAAATAACTATTGTAGTAATTTTGTCTCTTGTTTGGAGCATAAGTTTTCATAATTTTAATGTTTTATAGTTTTATCTGGCATATTCTTTGGGGGAAATTAGAACTTTAGTGTCTGATTTTCCATTGGATTAACAGGACTTGAACGTCTCTGTACCTTTTTAATGTATGTCAGATATAAAGTAATTTCTTTTAAGATTCGGCTGCTCATGTTTTTGTATTGAAACTTTTTGTTTGTATTGTTAGTTTTTTATAGTGTTTTGGATCCTTGTCATTTATTGATGTATTCACGTTTTTAACTTTTTTTTAAATATAATAATTACAAAAATATTTCCGCTCAATCGAAGGGGGCGAGTTTTTCGATCTGTACATTGGAGCGAGTAGGTTTTCCTATATTTATTTCCTAGTACAGATGCGAGCGGAGAAGAATTTCCTTTGATAATGAATAAACTTATTTGCTGTAAGAGGCAGCTGAATGTTTACTTTGGACGTTTAACATCGTTGATCCTTCAACCTTTTGAAATATTACAACCAGTCCAATACTCATATTTCCGCTCAATCGAAGGGGGCGAGTTTTTCGATCTGTACATTGGAGCGAGTAGGTTTTCCTATGTTTATTTCCTAGTACAGATGCGAACGGACAAGAATTTCCTTTGATAATTGTTAAGCTAATTTCCTGTAAAAGGCAGGTGAATGTTTACTTTGGACATTAGTCATCGTTGTTCTTTCAACCTTTTGAACCATTACGTCAGTCCACCATGTACAAAATTTACAAGTAATCATTATTTTTCTGATTCCAATTTAATGTGTATACTTCATCTTTTGAATATTTCATTTTTCTGAGTGTACTCAAAATTTAAATTGCATTCCCGATCTAAATCATGTGACAAATACTGTGTATAATATTTTATAATGTTTTTATGCGTATATTTTCTGAATTTCCTTTACATACTTACGTACTTCTATTTTTGAAGTCTATTACTTTTGAAGTTTTTGATAGTATCCTCTTTTTGAATTCATTATAACTTTCTTCGAGAGCACAGACTTACATTGATTTTTGGTTCAAACTTTTGATGTTTGTTTACATATTTTTGAGTGGTTTTGAACTTTGACAGTATTTTGTAGTCTGGATAGTTACATAGATTCGTTGCGATGTATGCCTTGAGGGTCTTGTACTATCCACAGTTTCTTTAATTGAAAGTGTTTTCTTCATATGCATTTCATTTTCTTCTTGAGGCTTGTCATATATGCTTTCCGCCTAGTTGCAAATCTGTGCGTATTGATAAACTCTTGAAACCTCTGGCGTATAAGTAAAACTCACTTTTGATATAGTTATTTATGTCTCAGTTCAATTCAATCAGTTCAATTTGATTTGAAGTAATTGTCAATTCCTTCTTGAGATTTTTCATATATGCTTTCAGCCTTTGTGCACATTTGTGCGTATTGCTAAGTCTTGAGCTTGGTTGCGACATTGCTTTCATGTTTCGCTATAGATTTTGAAATATCTGGTGATTTTGCTTTTGCATTATTGCATTTGTTTTGATAGTCTGCTCTCATAATCTTTTTTCCGGCTTCTTATTTCTTTCAATTTCTGTCTTGACTTGAAGTAATCGCCAATTCTTATAGATTCAGTATAGTAATTCTCTTTTCGTACTTTACACTGGTAAATTATTATAGTTTTTCTAATCTTGTAATATTTCATATTTGAACTTAACTTTCATTTTACAATGTTATGGTTACTCTCAGTGTAGACTTTGAAGTGCGCTGATGATATTAGTGATCTACATGAGAATATTCCATAGACTATAGACATTCTTGTCTAGGGCTTTGGAATGCACCTATGGTGACCCTAGAAAGTTGTCTTTCTCTCATATTTTTGCTTTAAATCAAAATTCGAATTCTTACCTATCATATTTATTTCTATTTCTTGTTCACTAGATTTTTTTTATAACTCCAATTTTGCACCTACATATATCGTAGTCTTTTGCATACAATTTTTGCTTGCGGCATTACTCTCATATATCATGATTTAATAAAATATCTTGTGATTTTCGTTTCGCTATTTTGCATTTTACATATGCTCACTTCGTTTCTCATTTATTACTCATGAAACTTTTAATATTTTGCTTACTTTTAAATTTTTTTGAGAACCCTTTATAAAATCATGCTCATATAGCTTTAATATTTCCTTTCACTTTATGATTTTAACACTATTAGATTTACAGTTGCACTTGTGTTGCACTTAGTTTTTTTGGAAATTTATTTTGCTCTTTTCTATATTGTACTTCAAATTTTTTTTTTGGTCTGGTTCTTATGTTGTCACATGACCCGAAAATTTTGATTGAACTTACTCTTGAATTTTAGTTCATTGATTGAACTTAAGCTATATTTTGACTTTGAAAATCTTACTTCAATATTTCATGAATGTCCCTTATATACTTTAATTCTCTGAAAATATTTTGAATTATTTTGTAGTCTTACAGACTGCTGGCGCCCGACAATTTTTTTGTGGAATCAGAACTGCACTTAGTTAACATCTTTTTTGATTAAAATACCTTCGTGATCAAGTTTTCATTGGTTTAGTACTTGTAAATTGTTTTGTTATATAACTGGAATTCTTAATAGAATTTGTTAATTTCTTTTGATTTTCATATTTTGAAAATAGTAATGCACAGTTTTTTTATATTGGATATTGGTTTAAAATATCACTGTAGATCATAATCTTTTTGGGTTTGGAGTATTGCGAGATAATCTGGCAATTATTGTTTTGAGAAAAATTATTATTATTTTTTTAATACCTCTTATGGTTTAGGTACTTACTTAGTTTTGAAGTTTTTAGTAGTCAGTCGTGCATTTTGGATGCCATTGTGATTCGTGCTTGGACTACTGCTGAAACTTTTGGTTTATTATTTTTCTCGTCTTAGGTATGACGATGTTTTATGTTTTGGGTTTTTCATCATATGATGATAGTTTTTTTTAAGTCCAACTTCACTGTACTTTTCAGCG